TAACTCCGAGACCAGCACCAAGACCATCACCAAGACTAACTCCGAGACCAGCACCAAGACCATCACCAAGACTAACTCCAAAACCAGCTCCAAGACCATCACCAAGACTAACTCTGAGACCAGCACCAAGACCATCATCAAGATCAGCACCTAGACTATCACCAATACTAACAACAAGACCAACTCCAAGACCAGCAGTGAGACCAATTCCAAAACAATTACTGGTACCAGCACCAAGATCAGCAAGATAAAGACCTTCACTGAGATCAACACTGAGACTAGAAATGAGACCAGCTCCAAGACCAACTCTGAGACCAGCACCAAGACCATCATCAAGACCAGCAGTGAGAGCAGCTCCAAGACCATCACCAAGGTCATCACCAAGACCAACTCTGAGACCAGCAATGATACCAACTCCAAAATAATTACTGATACCAACACCAAGATCAGCAAGATCAAGACCTTCACTGAGATCAACACTGAGACTAGAAATGAGAGCAGCTCCAAGACCATCACCAAGACCAACTCTGAGACCAGCACCAAGACCATCATCAAGACTAACTCCGAAACCAGCACCAATACTAACAACAAGACCAACTCTGAGACCGGCAGTGAGAACAGCTCCAAGACCATTACTGATACCAGCACCAAGACCATCACTGCGGTCATCAGCAAGACTGGGGACAGGTCAGTAGAGAAATAAAGTTGTTGTAGTGACCAGAATTCTCGTTTTATTTTCTCTAAAAATGAAATGTGAAATCTTATTGGTTGCTATTGGCTACACCTGGTAAAGTCACAAATGCATTCAGATCATTATACCATCCGCACACCCTCTATGGTGGGATTGGGAATGCCCGTCCCTGACCATTAGTGACATCACATGACCATGAATCCTCTTCCTGAGTCATGGCCTCATCCTTATGAGTGCCATCAAGGGTCTGCCCCAACCAGCCAAGGATCGGAGATCCCGATGTATCTGCCACCAGAGAGATCCCCTCCTCCAATCACATCTACAGGAGTCGCTCCCATTCCATCTCCACTCACAGGGATTTCCTTCATTGATCTTCTGTGTCTACATACACATTCCGGAGAAGCCTGAGGATCAATATAAACCCTGAAAACCAATGGATTCCGCATAGAACAGTCCATCAGAACAATGTTACTTTGTATCTCTCTGTCTCCCTCTGATCAATGTTTAGATACAATGTTACTTTGTATCTCTCTATCTCCCTCTGATCAATGTTCATAAACAATGTTACTTTGTATCTCTCTATCTCCCTCTGATCAATGTTCATAAACAATGTTACTTTGTATCTCTCTATCTCCCTCTGATCAATGTTCATAAACAATGTTACTTTGTATCTCTCTATCTCCCTCTGATCAATGTTCATAAACAATGTTACTTTGTATCTCTCTATCTCCCTCTGATCAATGTTCATAAACAATGTTACTTTGTATCTCTCTATCTCCCTCTGATCAATGTTCATAAACAATGTTACTTTGTATCTCTCTATCTCCCTCTGATCAATGTTCATAAACAATGTTACTTTGTATCTCTCTATCTCCCTCTGATCAATGTTCATAAACAATGTTACTTTGTATCTCTCTATCTCCCTCTGATCAATGTTCATAAACAATGTTACTTTGTATCTCTCTATCTCCCTCTGATCAATGTTCATAAACAATGTTACTTTGTATCTCTCTATCTCCCTCTGATCAATGTTCATAAACAATGTTACTTTGTATCTCTCTATCTCCCTCTGATCAATGTTCATAAACAATGTTACTTTGTATCTCTCTATCTCCCTCTGATCAATGTTCATAAACAATGTTACTTTGTATCTCTCTATCTCCCTCTGATCAATGTTCATAAACAATGTTACTTTGTATCTCTCTATCTCCCTCTGATCAATGTTCATAAACAATGTTACTTTGTATCTCTCTATCTCCCTCTGATCAATGTTCATAAACAATGTTACTTTGTATCTCTCTATCTCCCTCTGATCAATGTTCATAAACAATGTTACTTTGTATCTCTCTATCTCCCTCTGATCAATGTTCATAAACAATGTTACTTTGTATCTCTCTATCTCCCTCTGATCAATGTTCATAAACAATGTTACTTTGTATCTCTCTATCTCCCTCTGATCAATGTTCATAAACAATGTTACTTTGTATCTCTCTATCTCCCTCTGATCAATGTTCATAAACAATGTTACTTTGTATCTCTCTATCTCCCTCTGATCAATGTTCATAAACAATGTTACTTTGTATCTCTCTATCTCCCTCTGATCAATGTTCATAAACAATGTTACTTTGTATCTCTCTATCTCCCTCTGATCAATGTTCATAAACAATGTTACTTTGTATCTCTCTATCTCCCTCTGATCAATGTTCATAAACAATGTTACTTTGTATCTCTCTATCTCCCTCTGATCAATGTTCATAAACAATGTTACTTTGTATCTCTCTATCTCCCTCTGATCAATGTTCATAAACAATGTTACTTTGTATCTCTCTATCTCCCTCTGATCAATGTTCATAAACAATGTTACTTTGTATCTCTCTATCTCCCTCTGATCAATGTTCATAAACAATGTTACTTTGTATCTCTCTATCTCCCTCTGATCAATGTTCATAAACAATGTTACTTTGTATCTCTCTATCTCCCTCTGATCAATGTTCATAAACAATGTTACTTTGTATCTCTCTATCTCCCTCTGATCAATGTTCATAAACAATGTTACTTTGTATCTCTCTATCTCCCTCTGATCAATGTTCATAAACAATGTTACTTTGTATCTCTCTATCTCCCTCTGATCAATGTTCATAAACAATGTTACTTTGTATCTCTCTATCTCCCTCTGATCAATGTTCATAAACAATGTTACTTTGTATCTCTCTATCTCCCTCTGATCAATGTTCATAAACAATGTTACTTTGTATCTCTCTATCTCCCTCTGATCAATGTTCATAAACAATGTTACTTTGTATCTCTCTATCTCCCTCTGATCAATGTTCATAAACAATGTTACTTTGTATCTCTCTATCTCCCTCTGATCAATGTTCATAAACAATGTTACTTTGTATCTCTCTATCTCCCTCTGATCAATGTTCATAAACAATGTTACTTTGTATCTCTCTATCTCCCTCTGATCAATGTTCATAAACAATGTTACTTTGTATCTCTCTATCTCCCTCTGATCAATGTTCATAAACAATGTTACTTTGTATCTCTCTATCTCCCTCTGATCAATGTTCATAAACAATGTTACTTTGTATCTCTCTATCTCCCTCTGATCAATGTTCATAAACAATGTTACTTTGTATCTCTCTATCTCCCTCTGATCAATGTTCATAAACAATGTTACTTTGTATCTCTCTATCTCCCTCTGATCAATGTTCATAAACAATGTTACTTTGTATCTCTCTATCTCCCTCTGATCAATGTTCATAAACAATGTTACTTTGTATCTCTCTATCTCCCTCTGATCAATGTTCATAAACAATGTTACTTTGTATCTCTCTATCTCCCTCTGATCAATGTTCATAAACAATGTTACTTTGTATCTCTCTATCTCCCTCTGATCAATGTTCATAAACAATGTTACTTTGTATCTCTCTATCTCCCTCTGATCAATGTTCATAAACAATGTTACTTTGTATCTCTCTATCTCCCTCTGATCAATGTTCATAAACAATGTTACTTTGTATCTCTCTATCTCCCTCTGATCAATGTTCATAAACAATGTTACTTTGTATCTCTCTATCTCCCTCTGATCAATGTTCATAAACAATGTTACTTTGTATCTCTCTATCTCCCTCTGATCAATGTTCATAAACAATGTTACTTTGTATCTCTCTATCTCCCTCTGATCAATGTTTATAAACAATGTTACTTTGTATCTCTCTATCTCACTCTGATTTATAGAAGTGACATGCCTCAGCGTTTTACTAGCCAGGGAAGCCAGAGGATGAGCAAGACAGAGAGAAAATGAGCAACTTCTAAACAAGGACAAAGCTGTACTGACAGGTTCACTTTAGATCCCACCAAGTTTTGCTGACCTCCTTTAACCCTCAAGACACCTGAAGAGAGGGTTTGTTGGGGGTGCTGGAGGGAGGATGGGGGTGGGGGTCATTGGCTGTGTCATCATTGTCCCTGAGATTCTATGTCCGCCATGTTCCGTGTTTGTGAGACGTCTCCGTCCTCAATGTACAACGTTTCCAATCATTGTGGAGCTTCTGGAAGCTTTGCCAAGACGCATCCCACACCGGAGTGTACACAGGAGCTGGAGAACCTTCAACGCGGATTAACATGATGGATCGAGAGAGAAGTTTTTCTCTAAAATCTACACGTAGCACCTCTCATAATAATTCTCCCAGATCAGAGAGCCAGGGGCCACACGATGCTCACAAACAAGGCCAACAGATACAGGGGCCACTCGATGCTCACATACAAGGGCCACAGATACAGGAACCACACTCTGCTCACATACAAGGGCCACAGATACAGGAACCACACTCTGCTCAAATACAGGGGCCACAATCTATGTATATTACAGGAGATGCAGTTCCGATAATGGAGAGAAGTCTCATCCACAGAGATATATAAACTATTTTCACCACGTCCAGAGGGAGATGATGTGCTCATAGTAGAGACGGAGGAGGGGGGAGTATAATGGTATAATGGAGAAGGGGGGAGTATAATGGGGAGACGGAGGAGGGGGGAGTATAATGGGGAGACCGAGGAGAGGGGAGTATAATGGGGAGAAGAAGGAGGGGGGAGTATAATGGGGAGATGGAGGAGGGGGGAGTATAATAGGGAGAAGGAGGAGGGGGGAGTATAATGAGAAGATGGAGGAGGGCGGAGTCATCGTCACGGATGGAACATGTATAACTAATAATAACACGGCACACACATGTTATAGCCGGTGAAATCATTTATTATAAGTGTGAGTTATGATGTGATCAGTCCCGGAGAAGACGAGGTGTATACCGCATCAGGAGGACCCTGAGGAGAGAGAAGGATAAGATATGATGCATGAGGATGAGGATGACAATTACCATATATATATACCGTATATCAGACTTAGATCTTTATAAGAAGGCCAATGTCTCCATCTAGAGGAGAGCGACGTCTATGACATCTCATACCGACCCAATGTCTCCATCTAGTGGAGAGGGACGTCTATGACATCTCATACCGACCCAATGTCTCCATCTAGTGGAGAGGGACGTCTATGACATCTCATACCGACCCAATGTCTCCATCTAGTGGAGAGGGACGTCTATGACATCTCATACCGACCCAATGTCTCCATCTAGTGGAGAGGGACGTCTATGACATCTCATACCGACCCAATGTCTCCATCTAGTGGAGAGGGACGTCTATGACATCTCATACCGACCCAATGTCTCCATCTAGTGGAGAGGGACGTCTATGACATCTCATACCGACCCAATGTCTCCATCTAGTGGAGAGGGACGTCTATGACATCTCATACCGACCCAATGTCTCCATCTAGTGGAGAGGGACGTCTATGACATCTCATACCGACCCAATGTCTCCATCTAGTGGAGAGGGACGTCTATGACATCTCATACCGACCCAATGTCTCCATCTAGTGGAGAGGGACGTCTATGACATCTCATACCGACCCAATGTCTCCATCTAGTGGAGAGGGACGTCTATGACATCTCATACCGACCCAATGTCTCCATCTAGTGGAGAGGGACGTCTATGACATCTCATACCGACCCAATGTCTCCATCTAGTGGAGAGGGACGTCTATGACATCTCATACCGACCCAATGTCTCCATCTAGTGGAGAGGGACGTCTATGACATCTCATACCGACCCAATGTCTCCATCTAGTGGAGAGGGACGTCTATGACATCTCATACCGACCCAATGTCTCCATCTAGTGGAGAGGGACGTCTATGACATCTCATACCGACCCAATGTCTCCATCTAGTGGAGAGGGACGTCTATGACATCTCATACCGACCCAATGTCTCCATCTAGTGGAGAGGGACGTCTATGACATCTCATACCGACCCAATGTCTCCATCTAGTGGAGAGGGACGTCTATGACATCTCATACCGACCCAATGTCTCCATCTAGTGGAGAGGGACGTCTATGACATCTCATACCGACCCAATGTCTCCATCTAGTGGAGAGGGACGTCTATGACATCTCATACCGACCCAATGTCTCCATCTAGTGGAGAGGGACGTCTATGACATCTCATACCGACCCAATGTCTCCATCTAGTGGAGAGGGACGTCTATGACATCTCATACCGACCCAATGTCTCCATCTAGTGGAGAGGGACGTCTATGACATCTCATACCGACCCAATGTCTCCATCTAGTGGAGAGGGACGTCTATGACATCTCATACCGACCCAATGTCTCCATCTAGTGGAGAGGGACGTCTATGACATCTCATACCGACCCAATGTCTCCATCTAGTGGAGAGGGACGTCTATGACATCTCATACCGACCCAATGTCTCCATCTAGTGGAGAGGGACGTCTATGACATCTCATACCGACCCAATGTCTCCATCTAGTGGAGAGGGACGTCTATGACATCTCATACCGACCCAATGTCTCCATCTAGTGGAGAGGGACGTCTATGACATCTCATACCGACCCAATGTCTCCATCTAGTGGAGAGGGACGTCTATGACATCTCATACCGACCCAATGTCTCCATCTAGTGGAGAGGGACGTCTATGACATCTCATACCGACCCAATGTCTCCATCTAGTGGAGAGGGACGTCTATGACATCTCATACCGACCCAATGTCTCCATCTAGTGGAGAGGGACGTCTATGACATCTCATACCGACCCAATGTCTCCATCTAGTGGAGAGGGACGTCTATGACATCTCATACCGACCCAATGTCTCCATCTAGTGGAGAGGGACGTCTATGACATCTCATACCGACCCAATGTCTCCATCTAGTGGAGAGGGACGTCTATGACATCTCATACCGACCCAATGTCTCCATCTAGTGGAGAGGGACGTCTATGACATCTCATACCGACCCAATGTCTCCATCTAGTGGAGAGGGACGTCTATGACATCTCATACCGACCCAATGTCTCCATCTAGTGGAGAGGGACGTCTATGACATCTCATACCGACCCAATGTCTCCATCTAGTGGAGAGGGACGTCTATGACATCTCATACCGACCCAATGTCTCCATCTAGTGGAGAGGGACGTCTATGACATCTCATACCGACCCAATGTCTCCATCTAGTGGAGAGGGACGTCTATGACATCTCATACCGACCCAATGTCTCCATCTAGTGGAGAGGGACGTCTATGACATCTCATACCGACCCAATGTCTCCATCTAGTGGAGAGGGACGTCTATGACATCTCATACCGACCCAATGTCTCCATCTAGTGGAGAGGGACGTCTATGACATCTCATACCGACCCAATGTCTCCATCTAGTGGAGAGGGACGTCTATGACATCTCATACCGACCCAATGTCTCCATCTAGTGGAGAGGGACGTCTATGACATCTCATACCGACCCAATGTCTCCATCTAGTGGAGAGGGACGTCTATGACATCTCATACCGACCCAATGTCTCCATCTAGTGGAGAGGGACGTCTATGACATCTCATACCGACCCAATGTCTCCATCTAGTGGAGAGGGACGTCTATGACATCTCATACCGACCCAATGTCTCCATCTAGTGGAGAGGGACGTCTATGACATCTCATACCGACCCAATGTCTCCATCTAGTGGAGAGGGACGTCTATGACATCTCATACCGACCCAATGTCTCCATCTAGTGGAGAGGGACGTCTATGACATCTCATACCGACCCAATGTCTCCATCTAGTGGAGAGGGACGTCTATGACATCTCATACCGACCCAATGTCTCCATCTAGTGGAGAGGGACGTCTATGACATCTCATACCGACCCAATGTCTCCATCTAGTGGAGAGGGACGTCTATGACATCTCATACCGACCCAATGTCTCCATCTAGTGGAGAGGGACGTCTATGACATCTCATACCGACCCAATGTCTCCATCTAGTGGAGAGGGACGTCTATGACATCTCATACCGACCCAATGTCTCCATCTAGTGGAGAGGGACGTCTATGACATCTCATACCGACCCAATGTCTCCATCTAGTGGAGAGGGACGTCTATGACATCTCATACCGACCCAATGTCTCCATCTAGTGGAGAGGGACGTCTATGACATCTCATACCGACCCAATGTCTCCATCTAGTGGAGAGGGACGTCTATGACATCTCATACCGACCCAATGTCTCCATCTAGTGGAGAGGGACGTCTATGACATCTCATACCGACCCAATGTCTCCATCTAGTGGAGAGGGACGTCTATGACATCTCATACCGACCCAATGTCTCCATCTAGTGGAGAGGGACGTCTATGACATCTCATACCGACCCAATGTCTCCATCTAGTGGAGAGGGACGTCTATGACATCTCATACCGACCCAATGTCTCCATCTAGTGGAGAGGGACGTCTATGACATCTCATACCGACCCAATGTCTCCATCTAGTGGAGAGGGACGTCTATGACATCTCATACCGACCCAATGTCTCCATCTAGTGGAGAGGGACGTCTATGACATCTCATACCGACCCAATGTCTCCATCTAGTGGAGAGGGACGTCTATGACATCTCATACCGACCCAATGTCTCCATCTAGTGGAGAGGGACGTCTATGACATCTCATACCGACCCAATGTCTCCATCTAGTGGAGAGGGACGTCTATGACATCTCATACCGACCCAATGTCTCCATCTAGTGGAGAGGGACGTCTATGACATCTCATACCGACCCAATGTCTCCATCTAGTGGAGAGGGACGTCTATGACATCTCATACCGACCCAATGTCTCCATCTAGTGGAGAGGGACGTCTATGACATCTCATACCGACCCAATGTCTCCATCTAGTGGAGAGGGACGTCTATGACATCTTATACCGGCCCAATGTCTCCATCTAGTGGAGAGGGACGTCTATGACATCTCATATCGGCCGAATGTCTCCATCTAGTGGAGAGCGACGTCTATGACATCTTATACCGGCCCAATGTCTCCATCTAGTGGAGAGCGACGTCTATGACATCTTATTCAGGCTGCCCCTCCCCCCATTATACTGATGCTCATTGGCCAGAAGGGCCGTTATGCACACAGATGGGGCTCTCATTACCTTTTGGGTCCAGGGGATTAAAGGTTCGGCTCCAGGCACTCCAGGGTGAGGACGGGCTGTAGAGATCTCGGCAGCGAACTCGGAATTCACGGATGTTCTCCTTTCTGTAGGTCATCTCCTTCAGCATCTTACTCTCCTGAAGAGGGGACAAGGGGGTAGAACTCACACGGCTACATAATGTTTAAGCTTTGGCTGGACCCCCAAACTCCGGAGACACTGCTATGGGGAGCCACAGGCAGGCAGAGGACTAGGAGGTCCTCATGCTGACTGGGATATCGGTGGGAGAGCGGACAGTCATAATGTGGCGTTGTCCCAAGGGGAATGAAGTATTATCGCCATGCTGGCATCTATCACTCCTGGGGGGCAGGGTCAGAGGTCAGTGCTCAGTTTGGGGTTAACCTTCAGGTCAGTAAGTGACTTTTCAGGTTGTCATATTTCTGGAGGTGACACCCCCTCACCACCAATAGCTAAGAGGGGGAAATTGAACCCTCTATGGTCCTGGGGGCCCCCCCCCCCGTCCCGGTCCCTTCCCCCGGTATCGTAGACCTGTACACGGGAGAGACTCACCTTCACATTGTTGCGTTTCCTAAATTCCACCTGGAAGAGCAGAGGGAAGAAGGAGGAAGGACGTGCCCAGGAAGATGGATAGCCCCAGGTTATATGGTCACCTTTGACCTCCAGGTTCTCCGGAGCACTGGGGACCACTAGAACGAGGACACAGGGAAGAGTCACAAAGAAGGGCAATGCATCATGGGAAATGTAGGAAGAATATATACTGCGGGGTGTCCAATCTGAGACTGCGATGGCCACCTATGGCCACCCGCCCAGAACTCTGCCCATGGCCAACACCCTCTAGGACAGACTCACTTTGGGGTGAATGGAAACCATGCTGGTGGATTAACGAGAGGGGGGAGGGGGGGACCACCAACAAGATGGCACCATACATGGGGTATTACCAGGAGATGGGGAGTGTGGGTGAGGGGGGAAGGGGGAGGGGTCACCAGTCATATGTAGATGGCGTCATACATGGGGTATTACCAGGAGATGGGGAGTGTGGGTGAGGGGGGAAGGGGGAGGGGTCACCAGTCATATGTAGATGGCGTCATACATGGGGTATTACCAGGAGATGGGGAGTGTGGGTGAGGGGGGAAGGGGGAGGGGTCACCAGTCATATGTAGATGGCGTCATACATGGGGTATTACCAGGAGATGGGGAGTGTGGGTGAGGGGGGAAGGGGGAGGGGTCACCAGTCATATGTAGATGGCGTCATACATGGGGTATTACCAGGAGATGGGGAGTGTGGGTGAGGGGGGAAGGGGGAGGGGTCACCAGTCATATGTAGATGGCGTCATACATGGGGTATTACCAGGAGATGGGGAGTGTGGGTGAGGGGGGAAGGGGGAGGGGTCACCAGTCATATGTAGATGGCGTCATACATGGGGTATTACCAGGAGATGGGGAGTGTGGGTGAGGGGGGAAGGGGGAGGGGTCACCAGTCATATGTAGATGGCGTCATACATGGGGTATTACCAGGAGATGGGGAGTGTGGGTGAGGGGGGAAGGGGGAGGGGTCACCAGTCATATGTAGATGGCGTCATACATGGGGTATTACCAGGAGATGGGGAGTGTGGGTGAGGGGGGAAGGGGGAGGGGTCACCAGTCATATGTAGATGGCGTCATACATGGGGTATTACCAGGAGATGGGGAGTGTGGGTGAGGGGGGAAGGGGGAGGGGTCACCAGTCATATGTAGATGGCGTCATACATGGGGTATTACCAGGAGATGGGGAGTGTGGGTGAGGGGGGAAGGGGGAGGGGTCACCAGTCATATGTAGATGGCGTCATACATGGGGTATTACCAGGAGATGGGGAGTGTGGGTGAGGGGGGAAGGGGGAGGGGTCACCAGTCATATGTAGATGGCGTCATACATGGGGTATTACCAGGAGATGGGGAGTGTGGGTGAGGGGGGAAGGGGGAGGGGTCACCAGTCATATGTAGATGGCGTCATACATGGGGTATTACCAGGAGATGGGGAGTGTGGGTGAGGGGGGAAGGGGGAGGGGTCACCAGTCATATGTAGATGGCGTCATACATGGGGTATTACCAGGAGATGGGGAGTGTGGGTGAGGGGGGAAGGGGGAGGGGTCACCAGTCATATGTAGATGGCGTCATACATGGGGTATTACCAGGAGATGGGGAGTGTGGGTGAGGGGGGAAGGGGGAGGGGTCACCAGTCATATGTAGATGGCGTCATACATGGGGTATTACCAGGAGATGGGGCATGTGGGGGAGGGGCCACCAGTCACAGGTGGGGCAGAGACTCACCGACTTCGGTCATGGAGATGGGCATGTCCACCATCCAATACTCTTTCTCCGTCATGACCTCCGCCCGGACACGGAAGAAGTTGGTATATTCCTCGAAGGGGCAGAAAACCGAGGCGATGGGGACAGTAAAGTGGGCGGGTCCGTCTCTCTGTGAGCTCTGCTTCCAGGGGGAGGAGTTCTCTGTGTTGTTCCACCTAAAAGTAAAACCAATCATATCAGTCTGATACATGTCCTTTGGGGGGGGGGGGGAGCCCAGAATCCCGGTGCTGCAGAGGACACATTCGCACTCACTTGTACGCCTTCGCTCGGATCAGAACTTCCCGGACAAATTGGTGGTCAATGGAGCAGCGGAGCTCGTGGCTGCAGTATGAATCCGCCGCACATTTCACTGTCAGAGAACCTGGAAGAAAAGTCACAATGTCTGGTCAGAGAACCTAGGGGAGGAGTCACAATGTCTGGTCAGAGAACCTAGAGGAGAAGTCACAATGTCTGGTCAGAGAACCTAGAGGAGGAGTCACAATGTCTGGTCAGAGACCCTAGAGGAGGAGTCACAATGTCTAGTCAGAGACCCTGGAGGTGGAGTCACAATGTCTGGTCAGAGACACTAGAGGAGGAGTCACAATGTCTGGTCAGAGACCCTAGAGGAGGAGTCACAATGTCTAGTCAGAGACCCTGGAGGAGGAGTCACAATGTCTGGTCAGAGACCCTGGAGGAGGAGTCACAATGTCTGGTCAGAGACCCTAGAGGAGAAGCCCAGAATCCCGGTGCTGCAGAGGACACATTCGCACTCACTTGTACGCCTTCGCTCGGATCAGAACTTCCCGGACAAATTGGTGGTCAATGGAGCAGCGGAGCTCGTGGCTGCAGTATGAATCCGCCGCACATTTCACTGTCAGAGAACCTGGAAGAAAAGTCACAATGTCTGGTCAGAGAACCTAGGGGAGGAGTCACAATGTCTGGTCAGAGAACCTAGAGGAGAAGTCACAATGTCTGGTCAGAGAACCTAGAGGAGGAGTCACAATGTCTGGTCAGAGACCCTAGAGGAGGAGTCACAATGTCTAGTCAGAGACCCTGGAGGTGGAGTCACAATGTCTGGTCAGAGACACTAGAGGAGGAGTCACAATGTCTGGTCAGAGACCCTAGAGGAGGAGTCACAATGTCTAGTCAGAGACCCTGGAGGAGGAGTCACAATGTCTGGTCAGAGACCCTAGAGGAGGAGTCACAATGTCTAGGCAGAGACCCTGGAGGAGGAGTCACAATGTCTGGTCAGAGACCCTGGAGGAGGAGTCACAATGTCTGGTCAGAGACCCTAGAGGAGGAGTCACAATGTCTGGTCAGAGACCCTGGAGGTGGAGTCACAATGTTTGGAGAGAGAATCTAGAGGAGAAGTCGCAATGTCTGGTCAGAGACTCTGGAGGTGGAGTCACAATGTCTGGTCCGAGACCCTAGAGGTGGAGTCACAATGTCTGGTCAGAGACCCTGGAGGAGGAGTCACAATGTCTGGTCAGAGACCCTGGAGGAGGAGTCACAATGTCTGGTCAGAGACCCTAGAGGAGGAGTCACAATGTCTGGTCAGAGACCCTGGAGGTGGAGTCACAATGTTTGGAGAGAGAATCTAGAGGAGAAGTCGCAATGTCTGGTCAGAGACTCTGGAGGTGGAGTCACAATGTCTGGTCCGAGACCCTAGAGGTGGAGTCACAATGTCTGGTCAGAGACCCTGGAGGAGGAGTCACAATGTCTGGTCAGAGACCCTGGAGGAGGAGTCACAATGTCTGGTCAGAGACCCTAGAGGAGGAGTCACAATGTCTGGTCAGAGACCCTGGAGG